AGAGAGAGAGAGAGAGAGAGAGAGCTTCCGTTGAGGGATTCTTAAATAAGTTTATTTGAAGGACACCCTTGTAGTGCTTACTCCGCATTGTATTTTACTAGTCCAAAGCATCTATTTGTAAGATAATCATTCAAAGATCATCTCTACAAAAAATCAATTGAATCCGATATCATTTGACCATTCAATTGAGTTATTGAAATTTTAGTACTTTCTTGAAGCACCATATTCATTGATTTTGTTTGACACAATTGGATGTCGAAACGGTTTCTGATTTGTCTAATTTTTTACAAAGATGATCTATAATGTAGATTTTAAAAATATTGATTTGGATCGTTGAAAAAAAAAATTTGTTGGGACCCTAAACGGTGTCCCTATATCATTTGACTACTCAATTAAATTATTGAAATTTTAGTACTTTCTAGAAGTACTTGTTCATTGATTTTGTATGACAAAATTATATGTCTAAACGGTTTTCAATTTGTCTAATTTTTTGCAAGGATGATATCTGAATGAAGACCTAAAAAATAGATGGTTTGGACTATTAAAAATAAAATCATAAGGTACCCTAAATGATGTCTCTCAAATATTATTTGAGAGATCTCAATAAAAGGGATATATATGTGCGTGTGCGCGCGTGTTAGCAAGAAATATGGTGAAATAATTAGAGGAAAAATCTAGTTTCACATAATCACCATTCTTAACTCATCGCACACATATACTGTGTGGGCTCCATCTAGTTAATTGGTATGTTAATGTTATATTAATTATAGGCCTTGATAGAAAGAGAGGTATAGTTTATTAATAATTAATTGGGAGTTTAGGCACAAGGAAGGCAAGGAATAATATTGTCCTTTTTCCACCATGAAAACACAAATAAGCCAGCAAGCAACCCCAAACTTGGCATGCAGGGGAAATTAAGATTTACCCTGCATGCAGCTTCCTAAATCGATTATGTCTAGCTACGCCTATATATACAATCAATCAATGGGTTCACCACAAATTGGATCACACAATTAATACATAATCATATTTTCAGTGGGTCAATTTTGTTATTACAATTAAGGTTTCATCAGTTTGTATTAGCGTGGATTGTTGATGGCAGATGTTAGAGGATCCACAAGAGGGATGGGAGAGAGGTCGTCGTCGTCGACGTCAACACTAGGCCTTCGTCGAAAGGTTGTACCTTTCTCCGAGTGGATGGAGGACTCCAAAGGCCATTATCTCCTCCTTCAACTTCCAAGTACTTCATATCTACTATCTACTATAGCATGTCTATTTTTCCAATACTTTATTGTTGTTTCATTTCCTCAAAAGAAAAAACACGAAGCATATATGCATGATTTTTTCTACGTCACGTGGTATTACAATCATATGATGATCTACGTAGGAACTAATTAATAATATAACCAGATGCATTATATTATTAATGAGATTTGTTTATCTTATAAATTATAATTATACAACTGTCTCTTAGATTTCAAAAAGGGGGAGGTGAAGGTTGAGGCCAATGACTCAGCTGGCCATGTAACAATCAGCGGAGAAAGGCAAGTGAATAAGGAGAATGAATCTGGGTCCTCTGAGGAGGAGGAGGATGAACTTGAGTCATTTGATGAGGAGGAGAGTGAATCTGATGATCAGTCTTCTGAGGACGAAATGTATTTTGTGGAGATTAAGAATGGATTTGAGTATTTTGAGGAGAAATTTACCATTCCACCAAACTCAGATGCCAATATGATCACAGCAAAATTGGAGGGTGAGACGCTGTACATCATTATACCAAAGGTAGGAGCAACAGAAAATGATAGAGAGTATACAAATGTCCCAGGCTTACTATTAAGACCCGAAAATGATGGACACTACTCAAACATATTATTAGGAAATGGCCATGTATTGTTCTCTCTAGAAAATATAAGGAAATGGGATGAGCATGAAGATGGGGTTTTAAGGATGGCAATGGAGATGTTGAGCAAAAAGAAAAGGATGGTTTTAACCGCGGCGACCGCCGCCCTTGTAGCATTTTCTTTAGGGATGCTAGTTTCTCATCAGACGTTCCAATCAGGAGGAGGAGAATGAGAATTAAGTATGAATTAAGGCTGGCTAGCCATGGATATTATGTTTACTTAAGCTAATGTGTACATAATATTATTAATGCAAATGAAAATGTCTGAAAAATTAAACATGATCGACTGCATATGATCAGATGCTAATGGCATGGAGAATTCTATTACAAAATTGTATGTATTAACCTTTGATATAGAGTCTATATTTTGTGGACATGTAAAAGAGTCGTATTAAAGTTGAAGAAGTTAAAAGCAGCAGCCTCTTTGGGTAAGGGCATGTTTGTATGTTTGGTAATATTCTGAGGCTTGAGCATCAATCTACCAATCTCATCCACAGATCATGAGCAGAGAGCCAAAATATGCTCAAAACAGAAGGGCATCAATTCAAAAATGACTTTATTATATATGCATATATGTATATGTAGGGAAGCAGGATCAGATTCGCTGAGCAAACAAAAGCAGAGAGCAACCCAGCAATTGGAAAAAAGGCCACACCACCACAACATCACTTTCTCCATCTGATGCGGCTTGGAGAAGCTTCTTTGAGATGCGTGCCAATTGCCAAAAAGTTGCGACCCAATATCCACTCCTAGATGAGAAAAAGTTAGTTGCAACGGGGATAGCTGCACTGTTTTGTTATATCCGGCCAATAATGCTATATTATGTGGAAGTGTTATTATGCATATCGTAACGTTATTGACCGGAAATAACAAAATAGTGATATCCCCGTTTCATGAAGGTCTTTCTCCTCCTATATATCTGAAAGAAATTAAAGCAACTTAAATCCACAATTATATCTGGAAAAAAAAAAATCACTTTTACTAGTTCAGGTGCTTTTCTGAACACAGGTGAGTTGCCCATATGGTGGTAGAAAAAAGGATAATATGTGTATGTTGGACTCGGAATATTTTGATGATTTAGTTTGACAAGGGGACATAAAGAGATAGAGGAGAGGAGAATATATAGAAGAGAACCCAATATGAAAATAAAAAGGGGGATGATGTGCTTTGTCACACAAACCTTTATTCAAAATGTGATTGCTTTTCACAAAAAGGAGAGGGCCATACACACACACACACACATACATACTTGCCTCACTCACTGGAAGAATCATGTGCCTTCTTCCATCCAGTACAACTTATCTCTCATTCTCTTCTTCCTCTGTCATCATCTAATGCTACCACCCATCACAATATTTGTCATGCCTCTTCTTAAACAAATTAATTATGAAAAAGCAAATAATAAAGGAAAAGAAAAGAGGAATGTGTGAATTATAATTTACAAGCCGAAAAGTGAATCGAAAACCTTCGGGAGTGAGGATGGAATCTAATCTCTTCCTTCTCAACAAAATCTTTTAACAAAAAAAAAACACAAAAAAATTATCAATAATGAATTTTAAAAATAAAAACAAAAGGATTAGCATGGTAATCAAGCAGCATGCCATGCATTAGGCATATGATATGATATGATGCAATGCAAACCAGCAAGCAAGCAGTGCACAAATTCAAAAAAGCGCACAGCTCAAAAGCAAAACCCAAAAACCCGCACATCCCCCTTCGCATTCCCATTCCCATTCCCATTCCCATTCATTCTCTCTCCCGCTATCAACGCCCAATTTACCAACTGTTTTTGTCCGTAACCATAACCAAAACCAAAACCAAAACTCACTCACACTCCCATCAGAAATATGAGACCATGACGGTTTCGTTCCAACTTCCACCCCAACAACAGT